TTCTGTGTTCTGTGTTCTGTGTCTGTGTTCTATGTCTGTGTTCTGCGTTTCTGCGGTCTGCGGTCTGCGTTCTGTGTTCTGTGTCTGTGTTCTGTGTCTGTGTTCTGTGTTCCTGTGATCTGTGTTCTGTGTTCTGTGTACTGTGTCTGTGTTCTGTTTTTCTGTGTTCTGTGTTCCTGTGTTCCTGTGTTCTGTGTTCTGTGTTCTGTGTCTGTGTTCTGTGTTCTGTGTTCTGTGTACTGTGTCTGTGTTCTGTGTACTGTGTCTGTCTTCTGTGTCTGTATTCTGTGTTCTGTGTTAAAAGTGGCACCACGCTAGGTGATTACGATCATGCTGATCGCTCGGTGCCCACGCGGGGAGTAAACCCATGAACACAATTATTGTGATTGTTACGGGATTCCACTCGTCACTATGACCTATGACCTGTGACCTGTGACTCACCACGCGTGATAACTGTTAAATAACATGCATGTAATAATACCTGGAATCGACTCACTCTTTCTCCCCCCTTCTCTCTCTCTCTCTCTTTCTCTCTCACTCTCCCTCTCTCTCCTGCTTTCTCTCTCTCTCTTTCGTTCTCTCTATCTCACGCTGGCTCGCTCTCTCCCCCTCTAACTTTCGCTGTCTCTCTCTATCACTCTCTCCCTCTCCACCTCTGTCTCTCTTTCTTTCTTTCTCCCTCTCTCTCACGATATCAAATAAACTCTTTTTTCATTTTTTTCATCGGATAATATATATATATATATATCTGTGCACTTGCGAGAATGCGTGCGTGTGTGCGCGCACGTACGTCGTACAAAAGTCCGCGCGCGCCTGCAAAGTCCGACGTCGGCTTTCACGTTTGCTAATCTCAGCACGAATCAAACGGGTACGCTCGTTCTCTGCCTCTCATCCTCATCCTCTTCCTCCGCCATCCCGCACGCGCGTGCGTACACGAACCGCCGCACCATGTACATCACATACAGCGCCACCTGCGCCAGCGGCAGCAGCAGCAGCAGCGCCACCGCCAGAAACCCGATGGCAACGCCCGGCGTCTCTCCGTAGTCGATAAACGGATAGATGAACGGCAACTCGTAGAGTCCCGTGCCGCCGTACAGGTAGTACAAAAACGAGAACACCGCGTAACATAGACACCAGCACTGCGGCACCCACACGTGCAGCACGCGCACCGGCACCGCACTCACGCACATGTCCAGCAAGACGTAGATGGAGTTTGACGCGTGAGTGACGGCTGCCGACAGACCGATGGGGTCGCCTCGTCGGTGGATGAGTACCCAGAATCCTCCACTGATGACGAGAGCTGCGGGATAGGAGGCGCTGTAGAGCAGCCACGTGACGGTGTGGTACCAGCGGTAGGGCGCCTGCGAGCAGTGCGCATGCGCCTCGATGACGTCAGCCGGCATCTCCTCCTTGTCTGCAAGCACGTTTACACACGTATATATAAGTATGAATATAGATGAATAAATAAATAAATATATAATGAAAAAAATATGTGTGTGTGAGTGTAACATAATGACGTAGTGTATGGAGGGATATGAAGATAGGTAGCAAGCTGAGCACGCATGCACGTGCGCACACACACGCGCGCACACACACACACACACACACACACACACGCACGCACGCACGCACGCACGCACGCACGCACGCACGCACG